GCGGTGAGATTGGTGATAGTAAACTACAAAAACTGATTTAATAAAATCAATGCTAAAACTGTAAATTATTGTTAATAATTTATAGTAAATTGAATTAAATTCATTTAAAATGTTGCAACCGACACAGCCCCCACACCCTCCAAGACCAGAAACCTATTTGACTAAATATTAAAAAGATAACTCAAACCTTTCATTGTAGTTGAGCAAATATTTTAATTCCAACAAAGAAACACACATCTGTCTTTAACACATTAATATTTATAAAATGGATGATTGACGGCCAAACCAAGCAGGCCCTCAAGATGGGATGATGTAATGGGTCTGACATTCTTATATTCTGTGCAGCAGTCCAGTAATAAATCACTTTCTGTGAGCGAAATTGAACAACTTTAAAACACACAGGGGCAATTCCTTGTAATAAAGCTCAGAAGAACCCATGAAGGACCTGGCTGCTATTGAAAGCAAAATGCTTCATGCTCTGGTTTCCACAGAACATTAAACTTCACGTCTGGAAAATTATTTTAGCAGGTCCCCAGTGGAGTAGAAAGTCTTGTTTGTGCCCTGAACTTTCCACCTCTGACCCTACTGCACATTTGATAAAACATTTGTTCAGTTTTTAATTAATCTGATCTGTTCACACACATCTGCACATGGTGGTTTACCACTGCTAATTTTGATTGTTGAGGCTGTGGTTGAGGCACCTGGGTTGGAAGCATTTGGAGACTTCTGTTCCTTAGGGTGCATTCACACCAGCCCTGTTTAGTCCGCTTTAATCGAACTCTAGCTCGTTTTCTAGAAAGTCCGGTCATTTAGGGAGGTGTGAACGCACCATCGAACTCTGTCACGGAACAAAAAGGCGAACTCTGGCCCGGGCTAAAACCTAGGTCTCGGTCTGGTAGAGGCGAACTCCAGCGCGGTTCAAGTACAGTGTGAATGTAAACAGACAAACAAACACTCATTGCTCTGACCTTATATGGAGCCGTCAGCTGCCTTGTGTGGAAAAACAATATTCTCCATGGTCTTCTGTCTCATCTTCTGCTCTTGCTAGGTCCATTTTGGAAAAATGACAAAATATAACTCCTAAAACTGCTAAAACTTGATGCCACTTCGTTTTTATTTTTATTTACAGAAGAAGAAGAAGACGTGTCTTCAGAGGTTTTGTGTTGTTTCTTTCAGTAGTTCTTGGTGCAGCGCCCCCGCAGGCGAGCGGGGGAACAGGTTGGTTCAACAGGTTGACTCGACTGCACAGTGCAGTGTGAATGCAAACGCACCAGCTCAAATGTAAAAAAAAGGTCATGAATATTGGTCCCGAACCGAGTCTACCGGACTATCTGGTGTGAAAACGACCTTAAAGTGCTCCTTGACCTCTGAGCCCACAAGGATCTTAAAAACCATCATTGGATCATTGCCTGGCCTAAAATGATTGTGATTACTGTTGCACACACATAGTTTTTAGAATTCTAGTGGTTGTGTGCTGGGTTTGAAAGTTTTTGTTTTAGTTTCACACTCTTTAAAATCTTACTTTAATTTTATAAGGAGCAAACATGTTATGATTAAAAATTATAAAAAAAAAAATTCTGTATAAAATAATCCATCTTTGCAATTTTGACTCATAACCAAAAAAGAGGAAAAAATGTACAAAATGGATAAAAAGGTAGGAATTTTGCATTTTTCAAAGTTTTACGAAAGTAATTTTTAAAAGGAAGGTAAAATAAATATTTATTTTTTCCTAAAGGCAGAAATTGAACCCAGAGATGGGACTCAGAATCGAATGCTTTCTTTGTTTTAGAAAAGTGTTGGTATCCTACAAAGCTAGAAAGTGCAGAGCTGTGATCTGACCTGAAGGGGTAAAATTACCATGAGACAAATTGCAAATAATTCCATATCAAGGAAAACTAGGGCTCTATTTTTAGTGTTTTTTTTGTTTTCATCTCTTACATAATATTCCAGCTCAGTGTGTTTGCGCTTAAAAACCAAAAGCCAAAAATTTTTTTGTTCACACTGACCAAAGCAGAATGGCTTTATTAACAGGAAACACCTCACATTTGACACAGACAACCAATTACTACATTCCTCTGTGTTTTTCCCCTGATGTTCCTGGATAACCTTGATTTAAGTTATAATCAAAAACTAAACATGCTATACATATTGTATGTGTACAGGAATTAATTTTTTTGTACAAGAAATTATAGATTTGATTGCTGCAGTGATTTTGTCTTGGCAGGGTGTGGTGGGGCACAGGAGATGCTATTGTCACTGATGATGGTCTAATTTCCACAGAGGATTTTGTTTTATGACTGAGACCACAGACAGCACTACACTGTGGCCAGCATTAGTTAGGAGGTTTCCCCTTAAAACACTTGAGTGTTGCTTTAGCAGTGTGCCTTGGGTCATTGGCCTGTTGGAAGGTGAATCTCCATCCCAGTCTCAAGTTACTGACAGCCCAAACCTGTTTTGGGCCGTCAGTAATGTTGTAATGTTGTGTTTTGTCTCCGCTAAGGAAACATGCTGGAGACTCGAACCTGCAAAGACCTGCTCTGTCGAAGGCAGGTCCACCCAGCTGGTGTAGTCTGGTTGTTTTTTGGTCACAGGCGTGTGAGGGGGCGGAGCCTCCACCACACCTGCCTGAGGGACAGACTGATGCACCTGCCCCTCTTCATCGACTGAGGGAATCCTCAGTTTCAAACAGATTGTGAGAAACTTTTTGATCATTGGTATGGTTGAGCAAAATGTTTATTTTATAATTAAAAAAAATATTAAAGTACAAACTTTGAAATACCAGCATTTTATTACGATTAGATAATACTGGCAGTTTAAAACTCAAGTCATGTAAGGGATATGCATTCCTTCAAGGAGCTAGGCCTTTTAATTTGTATGTTAATTTACTGGTTTATTTATTGATGATAAATAAGGATACGAAAAAAATAACAGTATTTTACAGATGAAAAAAACACAAATTTTACATCAGTTTATCAATACATTACACATTAGTTCATTATTTCTTATCTGGCAACTCTGGCTTGGCAGCGTTTCCATGTAAACCTGCTCTTTTTTGTTTATTTGTCCCAATAAATATTGAAAAAGCACTCAACTTTTCAGAGGTTGTTCTTGTGTAAACAGGGTCTTAGTCTTTTGTTTTTCCTAAATGAAGTAGCACCGGCTGTGGTTAGAGCTGTCACCTCACAACAACAACAACAACAACAACAACAACAAAATGCTGAAGGATTGCCTCTTGGCCTTTCTGAGTGGAGTTTGCATGTTCTCTCCGCGCATACATGTTTTTTTCTCCAGGTATTCAGATTTCCTCCCATAGGCTAAAAACATGCATGTTAGGCTGATTGCTAACTCTAAATTGTCCGTAGGTGTGAGTGAGAGTGTAAATGGTTGCTTGTCTCTATATGTCCCTGTGATGGACTGGAGACCTGTCCACAGTGTACCCCACCTCTCTCACAGGTACTGCTAGAGATGGGCAATGACCTACAAAAGGAAAAAAAAACATGTAAAGAAAATGGATGGATGGTTGGCTGAATGGATGGGTTCAGTGCTTAATTTGAGTTGGATGCTGCTGGAACAGGATCTGGAACCTCTCTTATTATGACTTGGTGCGTTCCGGTAACTGTTGCCTAGACCTGGTAAATCTCAGGTTTACTAATTATAAAGTTATGAACAAATATGACTGCCTTGAACAAATACAACTTATATTGGACATGTAAACTGAAAATAATTACATAAACACTAATTTTAAACACAACAGCCACTTACAAGCATACAACCTACCTCTTCAAGTAGCATTTCAGCGTCTACCATTAAAAAATCTCCACCCCTAAAAGAGTAGTGGGGGTGAGTGCCGAGCTAACCAGGCAGTCGTACACGGACAGGAGCCCACAGGCAGCTGCAGGCAGGCGCTTGGAGGTTCACATGTGGAGTCAGACAACAATGAGCAGGGACAGAGTTGGGCTCCGTTCCGAGCCTGACTTACTTGATGGTTCCATCAAGTAAGGGGGGGATGCCTGACAGAAGTGGGGTGTTTACAAACGTAGGTAATCGTAGGTTGTCTAACACCTCATTAAAATACACCAAAATGCAGGAATCACATCTACTTTATTCAAAATTTTCTGGGGGAGAACCCACAGATCCTGCCCCCTACCACACCCACACCCCCACCAGCCCACCCGCTATTTGCATTCTGGCATTGATCAGTTTACAAATTAAGCCCTTGATGGGTTTAAATGAAAAATATTTAACCTCCAAAAATTTTTGTGTACATTTGTTTTTAAAATTATGAAAATATATTTCATTATACATTTCATCAATACAATTTAACTGGCTTTGAATGCTGAGTAACAGTTTTTGTGAAATTGAAACGTCGTAGATTTTTGTATACTATTTGATAATGCGTGGAGAGTTACACATGTTTACACAACTGTCCAAATAATGTGAGTAATCGTTTTCCATCAAAATGACTTTTAACACCTCATGGATACCTTGCATGTTTTCATACATAATGCTTCGGGATCGCATGGCCTTAAAGTCTCTGTGGTACACACCATCAGGCAGAGCTGCAGGTGCAGTCCTGACTGCAGAAGATCCAGGACAAAAACGAGTTCATGGACGTGTCCCTGCAATGATAGTCGTCCACTGAAATAGCACTCCAACCAGTCTACTTTCTCAGAATCCATAACTGGTCTGCAGTGATTTAGATGCTTCTTTCATAATCTGAAATCTAACTGCCACTCTTGTGCTCAGTTTGTTTCAGTCCTGCAATTACTCTCCTCCTAAAGTTTCCACCACTGTTTAAGCTCAGCACACAGCTGTCAAGTTTGTTCATATATAGACACGTGAATGCTGTAATTTTAGTGCTGGTGTGTCGCTCTGTTTTGGAAGGCATTGCTGTGGATGTGGACCGTGATGTTTCATATAACAAAAATATGAAGAATTCCTATTTTTGATGACTTGAAAACATAAAATGTCTTATCCTCTTGTGCTTTGTGTCTTTGCAGGACTCCATGGCTAATGCATGTGCAGAGGGGATTAGTGAAGAACATTATCGATTAGAAGGTAAGCCCTCTGCTTGTCACTGCAACATGCCACTTCAACTAATTTAAATAAATTAGATTGGTTTATTTAAATTATATTGCTAAGTGTCTGATTTGAATTCAGACTAAGAAGGGACTCTGTTTGGAGCTGCTATTTGGATACTTTTCATGTCTTATCGTTCCATTCTCCATCTTCTCCACCTCTGCTCTATGTCTCTTCTTTAAAACAAACTGCTGACAAGCTTCTTGTTTTACTTCCCATTCTACCTTCTTCTCAACCACCTTCTGTGTCTCTTATCTGCCCCTCCCCAGTGGTGCTCTGCGAAGTGCTTCTTTTTCCTCCATATTTTTTCCCTGATGTGATGTGATCCTGGATTAAGAGCTCTGGGAGGAGAAAGTCTCTCTCCCCATTTCAAGACAGTGCTGAACGTGAGGTGCAGGCAGATCTGAAGAGTCCCAGAATTTAGGAGTACAGCAACAATAAAACAAGAAAGTTCATGGAGACACATTGACGCGGACTGCTATGTGGTAGCCATTTAAAAAAAATTATTGGACAATACTAAATGGTAAATGGACTGTACTTATATATCACCTTTCTATCTTATTTCAAGATACTCAAAGCGTTTTACACTACAATCTGTGTCCTCATGTACCCATTCATACAGCACTCTACTAGATCTATGCAAAGCTAATTGAACAAATCATTCTAAAGAGACTAATCAGTGCTTTTAGATCACATTCATACACTGATGGGACACACATCAGAGGCTATGAGGGGTTCAGTGTCTTGCCCAGGGACACTTCGACATGTGACTGTTGGTGGATTCGAACCCCCAACTCTTGTACTGGAGGACGACTGCTCTAACCACTCAGCCACAGCCACCCTATGTGTTTGGGTTTGTTCTCAGCTACCACCATACCAAATTTCAGCTCTATACATGTAAAATTAGCTGAGATAAAGCTATTTAAATGTAGCTTTGGTGACCATCTTGAATTTTAATTTTTTATTTTTTATTGGGCATTGCACTCAGCTACCACCACACAAAATTTCAGCTTAATATCTCTAAAAAAATGGCTAATTTACAGTATTCTTTTTTTTTTTTAAAGCTCAGGTGGTTATTTTGGATATTTGATTTGCAACCAATGAAAAATGAATAATAAAAATGGCGTCTTTGTTTGCACATTACATCGCCATGGTAACTCGAAATGCCAATAAAAGTAATAGCACACATCATGGTGCTGAGCAATAGCACACATCACGGTGCCGAGCTGGTCATTTTGATATAACATTTGCTATATCACATTGCAGTTTGGGCCACATTAAAGTTGACGAAAGTGTAAGATGTAAAGTTAAGAAACCCTTGTCAGGTGGATAATAATAGATGGCTGCCTTACTAAGCAGTCCCCAATAAATGTATTATTGCTTGTCTGTAAGTTCCACTTCACTGAATAAGTCATGCAACGTGAAGGTAATGTGTCTGATAGATGGGGTTTAAAGTGATATGTAGTCATTAGGCTGAACCTGGGTCTGGGCCAATGTTGTCCTCCCCTTAAGACAGATATAGCTAATTAGAGTAAACTGCCCTATTCATTTACTGTGATTAACAGCTTCAAGATAACTTGCTTTAATATAAGATTTGAAGGAAAGAATTTAGGTGTTTAGGTTGTAAAGTTACAGCTTAATTATTAAAAAATATCTTGCTTGATACATTTGTCTTCTGATTAAAATAGTTTTGTATATTTTTTAGTATTTTGAATCAATTGACATCCATGAGTTGTAATCATAAAAACAAAGCAAACAGCTGTGTACTTCCTGCTGCATAAAAACAGCTGTGAAGAACTCGTAATCATCCTCAAATGAACTACTTTTAGTTCAGAGATCTTACAAACTGGAGTAAGGTAAAAAACAAGAAGAACAAAAAAAAAGCTGAGAGAACCAGTACAAAGAGATGACCAGCGCACATGAAAGACTTCTTTCTTCAGGGCATAAGGAAGCACGTCCGCAGAAAGTTTTGTGGGGATTAAAAGAGAACTTTACTGCAAAAATTGCAAAGAAAAGAAGAAGAGCTCAATGATGAAAGAGTCCGAGGGATACTTTACATCAGTTCTACTGACATCCCAGAGGAAACGCCTGCACAGCTTTTCATATTATTTTTTAACCTTTTGACAATATAATGGAGCCATTCTCTTTCAGTTTGTTTCAAGTTACAAATTATAAAAGCAACTCAACAAGTACTAGTAACAAAGGAGCATTATTGAAGAGTTTTTAAGACTCTTGCTTATGATAAAATGTAACTTTTTTTTTTAAAGAACACAGCCATCCAACCCTGGCTTTTACATCGTTTTGCTGCCAATATTTATGATGGGAGACAGACTCGGTTATGTGTAATACAGTATTCTTGCATAGCCGACTGTGATTCCTCATAGTGTTTGGCAGCTCTCCCAACCTGTCTGTATTTCTGTGTGAAAAATAGTCACGCGCATGCGTAGAGGGGGGGGGGTGTTGGAGCCGGCCAGGTGTGGTGGCTGCCAGCCTCGGCTGCACCCGTCTTGCCCCTGATGTACAGCCAGTCCCCTGGCGACGGCTTCACTCATAAAAAGCCGCTCCTCTGTTTGTGCTGGAAAAGGGGTCAGCGGGGGAGGTGGGTGATAGCAGATTACTGTTACTCCTCCCGGAATTTCATTAGCTCGAAGATAAGTATCTCACCACCGTACTGAGCCTGCCACCAAACAGATTTGCCCACAATGTTCCCTTTGAGCACCTCAGATGATCAAACGGCAGGACCCCTCTCCAAAAAGTTAGTAAAAGCTCCCTGGGTTGATGCCTTTCATTTCTGGCATTTTTTTTTCTTACCCAGGGATGATACAGGTCTACTTTGATCTGCGTTGGATCAGGAGGGAAGAAATTGGGCTGTTGTGTCTGCTCTGTTGGCGAGGAAACAAACAGCGTTGCAGATTTGACTTGGCTTAATTAATTAGTGATTCTGTTTTACAGCTGGTCTGATCCTCTTCCAAAAGGGTTGAGAATGAAACTTCAAAGTGTAGCAGAGGTGTGGTGGGGGGAGAAGGAGAGGGTGTAGATGTGGGTGTGGTCTGCGTGGCTTTATGGGTGCGTGCATCCCACATGTACTTTTTATTGGATGAGTTGATGTAGAATAAACGACTAAATTATTCTGTGAGGATTGAGCAAGAATACTCTGTCTGGCTAGCTATAACTCATGAAGGCCTGTAAGGAAACCCACATCTATGCCTCTCAAATCTTTGGAACGTGCTATGTGTTTCTGTGGTCTCATGTATCAAACAAATGCTGGATTTCAAAGCCAGAAAGGATATCCGGTAGCATTAGATCTGGGCTAAGTTCCAACCGTGAAACAGGACTACTGAACCAGACAGTGACCCTCATGCTATTTTTGTCTGCCAGGTTGGGCAACAGTGTTGAGTAATCCAAAATTGCACTACTTTAAACTGTAACCATAACCATTTTGAATCTTTTTATTGTAAAAAAAATAATAATTTGAAAAAGCTGAGACTACACAAATTTAATCAAAAGCAGAAATGGTTCCCGAGTGGCTTGAACAATGCGACATTTGTAGCCCATGTCTAGGATTCATCTGTGCGTAGTGCATAGTGTGCATGGGTTTCCAATATGGAATTTTATCATAATATTAAAATTTTATGAGACACTGATTTTTGTTTTTTCATTATCTGTATGCCATCATCAAAATTATAATAAATAAAGGCTTGAAATGTTTCACTCTGTGTAATGAATGTATATATAATATACAAGTTTCACTTTCTGAAGTGAAATAATGAACTTTTTCACGATAATCACATTTTTTTGAATGTACAGTGATCTCTCACTTTGAGAGTTTTGTTAATAAAAAGTGCGTTACAAATTAAATTCATTATTATTATTATTATTATCTCACCAACCGTGGGGATTACGTTACAGAGACCCCTGCCGTAGGTGAACATCTGTAAAGTAGCGGCGTTATATTTATTGTATTATTTATATCAGTGTTTAGATAACTTGCCATGGCAGTGCGCTCATCTCGTCTGTGATTTTTGTCGATGGGGGAGGGGGCGTCTGAGCTGTTTGCACCAACAGTTTTCTAGCGGGTGGGGGGGGGGGGGGCTTTGTTTCAGTGTGAGGGAAGAGACAGCATGAGCGCTGCTTTTAGCTTTTTAGCTACTGCGCCTGTATTGTGTGCGGGCCCTGCTTGTATAATGGTAGGGGAAACAATGTACAGTGTTTCCCATAGATAACTTGCCTTGTCATCTCATCCGTGATTTTGTCAGGGGGGACGACACGCATCTGAGCTGTGCTCTGTTTGTACCAGCTGTTTTCAAGCGGTGGGGGGTCAGCATGAGGGAAGAGGCAGTGTGAGGCTACTTTAGGCTTTTTAGCTAGCACGTGCGTCTGTATTTCGTGCCGCTACCTTAGCATTATGCCAGTTCTGACGGGTGTATGTGGGTGTATGGGGGGGTGGTCTGCGCAGTTCGGTTTGGTAGGCGGGGTGCTCGGTTCTGTTAACTGGGCATGGCGCCCTGCTTTTGTAATGGTAGGGAAAACACTGATGTTTATATATTTAAGGCTTTATAAACTCTTCCCACTCTCTTATAAACACTTTACGTGCTCTTAAACACCTTGGTGTTGGCGATGAAGATGATGACGATGAGATGACGAGCACAGCATGCACACATTATAAAAAATTGTGTTTAAAAAAATCCACGATATAGTGAAGCCACAAAAAGTGAACCGCAATATAGTGAGGGATGACTGTACCTGTAACATTCCCATCAATATAGCGGTCATAATGTTGTGCACTTTTCAGCTAATGATTACTGCAGTTTCTTTTAAAGCAATTACCAAATTTACCTTGTTATGTTTTTCATGCATGTCTTTGTTGTAGATGTGATATCAACCTCCTTTACAATGCAAATTCTTGACATGTCTCTTTTCCCTAAAGTTCCCTGTCATCTTTTTTAGACGACATATTATGGTTTAGTTTCCATGTCTGCAAACTTTCTCCTGTTTCGCTCGTAACTTCTGATCTGCTCAAGAACATTTAATGAAACCTCGTGCACACATGCAAAATATGTGTCATGTACACTTTTTATCACCCCAGCTCTGAAGTCAAGGTCAAATGTTGTCCTAGGTCTTTGCTTGTCAGGGTCATAACTTGAGCTCTGCTCATGGTAAAATAAGCAAACTTTGGTATACATGCGCATCATAAGACGGGGTGTTACATACACTTTTCATCACCAAAGCTTCAAGGTCACAAGTTAAAATAAGGAATAGTTAAAATAGTAATATGCTTGTTGAATTTGTCATTAAATTGGCAAAAGTTTCTGCCTGTAACAAGAAATTTCATGACTGTTAGTGATTTGTGTTTTGAGCTGTATTAAGGTCTGATTGTTAAGACGTTATAACCTTGAACTTTTTGGGGGAAATTAGCAAGCGGTCTGTACAGTGTGGTGAAGTGAAAGGAAATCTAAACGGGTGTCTGTTGTCAGCTAACCGGGTACAGTATGAGTTTTTCTTGAGGGTCGTTCTGATCAAAAAAGGTAAGCTCCGCAGCACTGGACCTGGGACTGATGGGCTTCCTGTAGACTTACAAGTGTCCACATTTCATTTGAATGCCAATTGTTTTATTTTGTCTTGTTTTAGTTGTGTTATGTTTATTTAGTTTTAAGTTTGGCATCCCCTTTCACTGTAAACCCCTGAGCCAACACATGAAAAATGGTGTATGTGTGGGACAAGCTGTTGCCATTTGAGAATTAGCTCTGTCACCATGACAACTCTTTTTCAAATGGTTTAACATTTTTGACTTACAGCATAATCACTACACTGATATTCTTTTTTTGAGCTTGCATGCTTTCAGAATGCAAAGAGAATTTGTTTGGATAGAGGCACCTTGAAAAAAACAAGCAAAAAAATGTTTCAGGTTGACCTTAAACTGTCTCAGATCTGTTTCCTCTGATTGCTAACTCGAAAAACATTTTTGAACTGCAAAAACTATAGAGCGCTTTGATTTCAACGGTCTTGGAGCACGATCATAAATACTGCAAGAAATACAAGTTAGGTCATTTTGTTGAAGCAGTAATAACCTCTGTTTGTTAAGTTAGCCATAATTTACATTTAGTTTTGTTAAAACATTAAAGCATCGTTGGGAAACAATGCTCTTGTTTAACATCATAATATAATATTCACATTTTAAATAAAAGCAATTTGACAGAGAGTGACAAGTTTTATTATACACTTTAAGATGTGCCACATCTTAATTTCTGCTACCCAACTTGGAGGCATGAGCTTGCCAGAAAAACTAGAAAGTGACAAGATGTCCTCAGGTTAAGACTGCACCCAGCGTTTCTGTCCTCAGGCCATCACTTTTATCTTTGTGTGTGTGCATTCATGTGTGTGTGTCTGTGCTATTGCAGTGGCTTTACCCCCGGAGAAGACAGACAGCTGCTGTGTGGAAGAGAAGATGCAGGAGAGGGACAGCCAAGCTCCCGCAGGGCCACAGAAACAGCTCCAGTTTGAAGTGAGTGTCAATACGGAGCGGGACATTTATTGCCCCCCACCCTCCACCCCCCCAGATGAAACTGGGCCATTGGCAGGACACGCAGAAATACACACTCACATGTACGCTGTATGAAACTGATGCTGTTTCAGGAGTTGGAGTGTGCTGTGTCTGTGGAGGAGAACAACAGGCAAGAATGGACCTTCACCCTCTATGATTTTGACAACAGTGGCAAAGTTACCCGAGAGGTAATAATGTTGTTAATACACATAATGAACATAAAAGGGCTTGCATCCACAATTATACTTGACAACCGCAAAAAAACAACAACAGCAAGAGTTTAAATTGATTTCCATTGTGACAGGAAAGAAATACAGTAGTCCCTGGTTTATCGCAGGGGTTTCTGTTCTCAGTGCCACCGTGATAAGTGAAAAACCGCAAAGTAGGAATAGTAGTACAAGTAGT